TTTGACCCTTTGGCCTCCTAGCCTATACTTGTCCTCCGATCTTCATGACTTTGCATTTGGCGGGGTTAAATTCTAGGAGCCAGTTTCTGGACCACGCATCCAGCCTGTCCAGGTCTCTTTGTAGACCTTTCTGGTCCACGTCTGATTTAATTCTCACTAACTTCACGTCTTCTGCAAACAGGGACACTTCTGAGTCTATCCCTTCCGTCATGTCGTTCACATATACCAAGAATAGCACTGGTCCCAGGACTGACTCCTGTGGGACCCCGCTCGTCACCGGCGCCCACTGTCATACCTCATCACGGACCATGACTCGCTGTTGCCTCCCTGTTAGATACTCTCTGATCCATTGTAGTGCCCTTCCTCTTATACGCGCCTGTTCTTCTAGCTTCTGTACTAATCTCTTGTGAGGAACTGTGTCGAAGGCCTTCTTGCAGTCTAAGAAAATGCAATCAACCCAACCCTCCTTCTCGTTTTTTACTTCAGTTACCTTGTCATAAAACTCTAGTCGGTATGTGACACAGGATTTGCCCTCCATGAATCCGTGCTCGTTGTCGTTTATAATCTTGTTCAGCTCCAGGTGCTCCACCACTCTCCTCCTGATAATTTTTTCCAAGACTTTGCATACTATGTGTGTGTGTGTGTGTGTATTGTGTGTGTGTGTGTGTGTGTGTGTGTGTGTGTGTGTGTGTGTGTGTGTGTGTATGTGTGTGTAACTACTAGTGCCACCACGAGTGACAGTACTGCTGATGCCGCAGTGATGGAATCACTGGTAGCACCACTGGTGGCACCACTGGTGTAAACATCGGTGGTACCACTGGTGACAACACTGGTGGCACCACTGGTGACACCACTGGTGGTAACACTGGTGACAACACTGGTGACATCACTGGTAGTATCACTGGTGACACACCGGTGGCATCACTGGTGACAACACTGGTGGCATCACTGGTGACAACACTGGTGGCACCACTGGTGACAACACTGGTGGCACCACTGGTGACAACACTGGTGGCACCACTGGTGACAGCTCTGGTGGCACTAATGGTGGCACCAATGCTATCACCACTGGTGGCATCACTGGTGACAAAACTGTAGGCACCACTGGTGACAACACTGGTGGCACCGCTGGTGACAGCTATGGTGGCACTACTGGTGGCACCAATGGTAGCACCACTGGTGGCACCACTCGTGATAACACTGGTGGCAACACTGGTGACACCACTGGTGGGACCACTCGTGACAACTCTTTTGGCACTACTGGTGGCACCAATTGTAGCACCACTGGTGGCACCACTGGTGACAACACTGGTGGCACCACTTGTGACAACACAGGTGGCACCACTGGTGACAATACTGGTGGCACCACTGGTGACAGCACTGGTGGCACATCTGGTGACAACTTTGGTGGCACCAGTGGTGGCACCAATGGTAGCACCACTGGTGGCACCACTGGTGACAACACTGGTGGCACCACTGGTGACAACACTGGTGGCACCACTGGTGACAACACTGGTGGCACCACTGGTGACAACACTGGTGGCACCACGGTGACAACACTGGTGGCACCACTGGTGACAACACTGGTAGCACCACTGGTGACAACACTGGTGGCACCACTGGTGACAACAGTGGTGGCACCACTGGCGACAACACTGGTGGCACCACTGGAGACAACACTGGTGGCACCACTGGTGACAACACTGGTGGCACCGCTGGAGACAACACTGGTGGCACCACTGGTAACAACACTGGTGGCACCACTGGTGACAGCACTGGTGGCACATCTGGTGACAACTTTGGTGGCACCAGTGGTGGCACCACTGGTGACAACACTGGTGGCACCACTGGTGACAACACTGGTGGCACCACTGGTGACAACACTGGTGGCACCACTGGTGACAACACTGGTGGCACCACTGGTGACAACACTGGTGGCACCACTGGTGACAACACTGGTGGCACCACTGGTGACAACACTGGTGGCACCACTGGCGACAACACTGGTGGCACCACTGATGACAACACTGGTGGCACCACTGGTGACAACACTGGTGCCACCAGTGTTGTCACCAGTGTTGTCAGTCTGGTCTCAGAGTCTCACAAATTTCAGCAGTAATTTCACGCCAATTTGCTGGAGATCCTCAGGATTTTAGTATTGATTAATGTAGACCCCGAGTGTGTGTGTGTGTGTGTGTGTGTGTGTGTGTGTGTGTGTGTGTGTGTGTGTGTGTGTGTGTGTGTATGTGTGTGTGTGTGTGTGTGTGTGTGTGTGTGTATGTGTGTGTGTGTGTGTGTGTGTGTGTGTGTGTGTGTGTGTGTATGTGTGTGTGTGTGTGTGTGTGTGTTGTGTGTGTGTATGTGTGTGTGTGTATGTGAGTGTGTGTGTGTGTTTGTGTTTTTTTGTTTTTTTTGGTGGGTGTTTTTTTTTTTTTTTTTGGGGGGGGGGTTTTTTTTGGGGGTTTTTTTTTTTTTGTCTCCCCATGTTTGATTTGGGGGGAGCCCCCCTTCCCCCCTTTTCCCAATCCCCATCCCCCCCCTACCTCTTTTTTTCTAAAGTTTTATCCCCCCCATACACGCTTCCCAAACATTTTTAAAATTTTTGGGGGTAAGAAAATTCCAAATCCCGGGAAAACGTTTTGGCCCACTGCCCCCTTTTTTTTTCCTTCAAATCCTTTTTGTATTGTAATTCTCCGTTTTTTAAATGTCGTTAACCCCCCTACCTTCGCCCCCGGTGTAGGTTGATTTCCTTCCCTCCTTTCATCCTCCCCCCCCTTTTTTCCCGGGCTTTTGAAAAATTTGCACTTTTTTTTTTGTGTTTGGGGGGTTAATGGTGGATACCCAAATGGGTTTCCGGTGTACGGGGCCCTGCCCCCTTTTAAGGTGGTTCTTTCGGTTTTGGCGCCCTTGTGCGCTTTTTTGGGTTTTCGCTAAGATGGTGGAAAAATCCCCAAGTTTTTTTTTCCCTTGGTGGTTTGTAGTTTGCCCCCTGATTATCGTTTGGGCCTTTTTTTTCCCCCCCTTTTCTTATTTTTGCCGGGGGGGTTAACCCCAACCCTTCTGACCGTTCTCCCCTTTCCCAGACCCCTTTTTATTCGTGGCCCCCATCATGTTTCCTCCAACTTCACCAAAAAAAGGGGACAACCCCCCCCCTTTCCTCCGCCCCCCCAAAAAAACACCCCCTGGCCCCTCCCCCGGGCCCCGGTCACGGTGCCCACTCGCCCCTCGACGAAAACCCTCCTTGTTTTGACAAGATTCCCTGATCCATTGTAGTGCCTTCCCTGTTATCCCTGCTTGGCCCAGTTTTGCACCATTTTCTTGTTGGAACTGTGTAAACGCCCTTTTTGCAGTCCAAGAAAAAGCAACCACCCCCCCCTCTCTCTTGTCTTCTCTGTCCCTGTCATAGAAACTCCAGTGGTTTGTGACACAGGATTTTCCCGTCCCCCGAAACACTGGCTGTGTTGATAGTCTTCCCTCCATTTTTTTGCTCTCTTTTTCCTTACCCAAACTGGCCCTTTGACTTTTTTTTCCTCCTGATTGGGGGTGTACAACATTTTCGGGTAAATTTTTTTCCCGTGTTTTTTTTTCTTGTTTTTGGGCCCCCCCCTCATCTTGCTTTCATTTTGGCCCATGTTCTCCTTTTTCTCCTGGGTTTTGCCCAATATTTCTTCCTTTCCCTCCCACTTTGGTTTTCCCCCTCATTTGGGGAAAACCTTGGGCTCTTCCGGTTTTTTTTTACTCCTGTTACCCTTGGGGTAAAATTTCCCCCTTGATTTTTTTTGCTCTTTCCCTTCATCTCATTAACGGGTTTCCCGCCACCCTTTTCCCCCCCTGCCCCGTTCGGATTTATTCCGTTAGTCCCCCTTTCTTGGTTTCTTCATTCGTCCTGGCCTTTCCTGCTTTCCCCCATTTTTTGTTACTGGTTTGTTACAACCCCCTTCAGGCCCCCGGGGGTTTTTCTGTGAGTTGAATTGCATACTGGGGTCAAATCCCCCTTGGGGGTTATTTTTTTGTAGTGTTTTTTTTAAAAGTGTTGGTCTGAAGTTTTGGGTACCCCCTATTTCTGCCTCCAATACCGCCCCATGGGGGTCCCCCCCAAACTTTCTCCTTTTTAAAAGCCCTTTTTGGGGGCTTTGCCCTCTCAGGCTCTTCGGGATTGCTGTTTTGTCAAAACCCCTCTTTCTCTCGGTACTCTTTTCCTTGGGTCCTGTTTCTGTTTGGGATACTATTGCTTTCCACCTTGGACCTCCGATAAATTTCCCCTTTCACTTTTTCTGTATTTTTCTCTCTCCCCTCTTCCCGGTTTTTATTTCCCCCCCTCCTCCCCCCCCCTGTTCCCCTGTTTTCCCTTTTTCCCTTTTTAAAATTTCATCTGTTATCTCCTGTATTGGTTTCTTAAATTTTCCGGTTTTTTTCTTGCCTTTTTGCCACTCCTTTCCCATTTTTTTTATTTTCCTGCGTTTGGTACCCCTTTCATTTCCTTCCAACACTGGGTTTTGGGGGCCTTTGGGGGGGGAGCCTGGTGGCTACTTTTTCTATAGCTTTTTGGTGGAGGCTGGGGGAAATTTTTTTTTTATTTTTGAAGTTTTATTTTCGAAAGAATTTTTTTCTTCCCTTGCTTTCTGTCCCCCTTCCCCGACCTCTGCGGGGTTCCCCCCTTTTTTTTTATTTTTTTTTTTTTTTTTTTCCCCTAGGGGTTTTTGAGTTTGGGGCGGGAAACCCCCGACCCCGGGGAAAAAAAGGGCCCCGGAGGGAAAGAGCCCGGAGAACAGGAGGGGCCAGAGCCCCCAAAGAAAAAACAAGCCCCCAAGGGGGGGCAAGGGCCCAAGGGGGCCTTTCCCCTCCGAACCCCAGGATCCCACGAGCCCTTTCTTCCCTCCAGCCCATCGGGCTCGGAAAACCCCCCTGAAGGGGGGCCCCCCTGAAAAGGGCTCTTGTTTACCCTTTTGGCCCAATTTGCCTATCCCGTTGATCTTTTTCACCTCCTTGGTCCTCCTTTAATTGGGGACCTCTAATTCTTTTTCCTTCCTTCCTGTTCAGCCTCGCAGTTAATTGTGTTTTTTTTCTCTGGCACTCCCCCGCCCTCCGCCTTTTTATTAACCGGGAACCCCTTTTTTGGGGGCTCTGATGCCTTGTGCCCTCCCAAATTTTTGCTCCTTCTAAACCCCTTTCCCAAATTTCACAGGGACCCCCCCTTTTTTTTCGAAAGCCCCCCCAATTTTCCCCCCTCCCACTCTTTTCCATCCTTTTTCCACTGTTTCCTCCTCCTCCTCCTACCCGAACATTCTCATCTGATCCTTGGGTCCTGCGAGCCCCCACCATTTTTTTTTTTTTTTTTTTTTTTTTTTTTTTTTTTTTTAAAGATAGGGAGAGGGGAGAGTTAAGGGAAAATGGGGACGAGAAAAGGGGCAAGAGAGGAGAGAGAAAAAGGGGGAGAGAGAGCAAGAGAAAGGAGCCCCGGAGAGAGAGGAAGAGGGGAGGACCCAAGAGAGAGAGAGAGAGCAAAGGGGGAGAGAAAAAAAGAGGAGAGAGAGAGAAGCAAGAGAGAGGCAAGAGAGAGAGAGAGGCAAGAGAGAGGAAGAGAGGGGAGAGAAAGGAAGAGAGAGAGCAAAGGGGGAGAGAAGGAGAGAAAGGGAGAGCAAAGCAAGAGAGAGAGGGGAGAGACAAGAGAGAGAGAGCAAGAAAAAGAAGCAAGAGAGAGAGAGAGCAAGGGAAGAGACGGAGAAAAAAAAAAAAGAAAAAAGGGGAGAAAGGGAAAAGGGCAAGAAAGAAAGCAAGAAAGAAAAAGAGAAAAGCAAAAGAAGAAACAAAACAAAAAGGAAGACAAAAAAAAGGGAGCAAAAGAGACCCAAAAAGGAGGCAAAAAAGGAGCAGAGAGAAGCGGAGGAGCAAGAAAAGAGAAAAAGAGAACAAAAAAAACAAAGAGAGAACAAAAGAAACAAGAAAAAAACAAAGAAGAAAAAGGAGAAAGAAAAGAGAAGAGAAGCAAAAGGGAACAAAAGAAAAAGGCAAAAAAGAGAGCAAAGAAAAGAAGCAAGGCGAGAGAGCAAAGAGAAGAGAGCAAGAAGAAGAAGAAAAAGGGGGGACAAAAGGAGCAAGAGAGAGAGAAAAGGAAAAGGAGAAAAGAGGAAAGAGACCCAAAAGAGGAGGAGAGCAAGGAGAGAGAGAGAGCAAGGAGAGGAGCAAGAGGAGAGAGAGACCCAAGAGAAGAGAGAGCAAGGGGAGAGAGAAGAGCAAAAGAGGGGAAGGAGAGGAGAGAAAGAGAGGAGAAGGGAGGGGGGAGAGCAAAAAGGAGAAAAGAGAGCAAGGAGAGAAAAGGGAAGGGGAGAGAGAGAGAGAGAAGAGAGAAGGAGGAGAGAAAAGAGAGAGAGCAAGAGAGAGAGCAAAGGAGAGAGAGCAAGAGAGAGAAGACAAGAGGAGAGGGGGAGCAAGAGAGAGAGGGGGAGAGAAGAGAG